GCGGTGGTTGTTTTGTCCCTTAAACAACTGCATCCACATGTTAGTGCACTATTTAACTGATACTGTGAGTGAATCATTACGCCATTAGTCCTACAGTTGCAACTCTTCTACACACTGAACTGTGAGGACTAGACATCATATCTGCACTGCTACAGAGAGAGTTCAGTGACTGCCCAAAATGTTCCATCAGAAAATGTGATAATATGACATAGATGTCCCAATAGCCAGTTAGTATTTTCTTTGCATTTTTGGATTTTAATTTGGCACAAATAAATATATTTACTTAGTTATTTATTATTATTGTATTTGTTGTTGTCACAGAAAGTCGCAGGCTTCCCTTTATAGAAACTTGGTTCTTTCCAGACACTTAAAACCACTGAAGCTACAAATCTTAAAAGTCAGAAGAATATATTTATCAGTAAATGATCTCGACTGGAACCTGAAAATCTATGACTTTATTGCTCAATTGCACATTTTCTTACTTCTTTATTTATAATGTAGAAGTCCAGATATACAGTCCTTTGCTGAACCAGTGCAGCATTGTTCTTAAGTAATGTTGGCAGTAGCGTTTTAAGTATAACAAACGTTGGTTTTGGAGTTTGGCGAAGGAAGACGGAACAGAAAGCAACAGAGTGAAGTTCCCACTTCATTTCATTTGACCAAACAGTTTCTAGTTTACTGAACCAAAAGCATCTCATCAACAATTCTCAATGTGCTGAGTATTAAATATAGCACTTCATATGTGTGCAACACTTTGAATGTTAATGTGTTAAAACAAGGGACAAACATATATAAATCAACAGTTCAATCAAACTGGATTTGCATTAATTTCAGCTCTTACAATAAAATAAAGCAGATACATTTCGAAAACTTTAAGTTTATTTGAATTACAGAGAGTCCCATGATCCAATATGATGAAACAACATAGGCTTGGACCATATCTGCAACTTCATATCTAGTCCAGTCCAGCCCAAAATTTGCGATGTATGATAATAATATAATATGTATTATTGTTTATTTTATTATTGTTATTTTTCTTCTCTCAATATTATGAAAAACATGTAATATGCCAGTAAATATTGTGATATTCAATATTGTTGTTGCTGTTTCATCCTTCATCATCAAGTCTCATTGCATACAATTACTATCATATAACTACAAAGCAGCTGCTTAATCAATGAATTCTGTGGCAATTGATAAATGTCAAAGATGTAAAACAAACCCAAACTAAAAAAGAGACAAGTGGTCCGATCAGCACAACAAACACAAAACGCATGTGCAGAAAATCAGGTGAAATAAACTACATGTGTGTTTCCCACCTCTGTTATGTCTGATTCCAGCTTTACCTGAAATGGTTGAGTTTAGTATGTTGACCACCTTCATCTTTTTCTAATCCAATATTTCCCCAGTTGGTCCTGATCTCTGCTTTGTCCAGTCTGGTGACGACGTCCTCCTTCTCAGAGAGCTGAAACACACAGTCGTACTCCCTCCAGTCTTCAGGTGTGACTGATGAAAGATCAACTCTCATCTGGAAGGTTTCATCATGGTTGGGGAGGTATCTCCTTGGTCCACGTCCTCATGAAGCTCCTCTCCATCTTTCCTCCAGAACATCACAGCTCTGTTGAGGGAGAAACCTGTAGCGTGGCAGCTGACTGGAGAGGAGGGAGTCTTCTGGAGGAGAGACACTGAGGGAAGCTCTGGAGAGAGAGAGAGAGAGAGAGAGGGAGAGAGAGAGAGAGAGAGAGGAGAGAGAGAAGAGAGAGAGAGGGAGAGAGACTATATTTTACTTATATTCGCTGTAAGTGTAAATGAATTCAAAACAAACATGCTGTTGTAAAACTGCAGCAGACCATGGATTACCTGTTCTCAGCAGAGAGCCTTCCAGAGTTCACGAACATCTTCAGCCTTTCAGAGCAGAGCTGGGTGAGGAGGTTCTTAATGTGAGCTAACGCAGCTTTGTCAGTGTCCCACTCCTGTTTGTATCGACAGCCTGTTGGTGTTGGAGCGATCCACGTCTCTGTCTTTACATCAAATACTATGAAATCTTTCTCCATCATAACCGAACTGATTATAACCATTAACTTTCTTCAAGTCTCATCGTCCAATTCCACAGCCAAACATCCTCTGGTAAATGTGGACACCTGAGACAGAGACAGATAATATGTTATTACATACACTGTACAGTATATGATTTGATTGTATTCTTTTTATACAACATTACAACATTAAAAAAAGCTTGACAGTGAGCAAACCTCTGCTGTGGTGTGTGTGTGTGTGTGTGTGCCGCGCTGGTCTTGTGTTCCATGACAGGTGTCTAACATCTGTTTGCTGTGTATCTGTGTATATGTGATTGAAAGAAATAATTCAGAGGCAGGAAAAAGTGAGACCTACAGTAAATAATACCCCTCCAGTTTGGTCGAACTCTGCATCAGAGTCTTCAT